CACACAAATTAGATGAATATATTAATATACATTAGACAAGTTTATGAGTATAGTGAAAAACATTAGACGAATTTGTTTATATACTAATTAGATGTGCATAGCAAAAAATATTATATGAGACACTTCATACATTGATTATATTAGTTTAAGAATACACATTATATGAATATGTTTATACATTAATCAAATGAGTCTTGTAACACATTAGATATCTTTGTTCATACATGATTATACAAGTCTAGCAATATATGTTACATAAGTTTGTTCATTCACATATTAGATGAATATATTAATATACATTAGATGCCTCTATCTATATTCTGATTAAACGAGTCTTACAATTTACATTAAACAAGTTTATTCATATACTAATTAGATGAATCTAACAATACGCATTAGACAAGTGTTTTTATATACTAATTAGATTAGCCTAAAAATACATATTATGAGTTTATCAATGTACTAATTATATAAATCTAACAATACACATTAAACCAGTCTCTTTGTATACTATTTTATATTTACAATGATTTTACTCTACATGTTTTTGCATGCACCCTTTGTATTTTTAGAATCTATCCTACATTTTTACACATGTTTTATTCTCTATATTTTTTACAAACATTACTATTTATATTTTTTATAAACATATTGACTTTCTAAACTTATAAATCATTTTCAAATTAATTCTATTTAAAACTTAATTATAAACTTGAAAATAATAATATATTTTTTCTTCAACCTTTAAATCTCTTTTAATAAACACACAAACAAACATCAACTTGTATATAGACCCAAATTTAAAACTAGTTATATATTTAAAAAAATTAAAATAAAAAATTTCTTAAGAGTTAAATTTATTAATAAAGTGTAATGTATTTAGATCTATCAATAAAATTGATTAATAAATAGACGTGCATTATTAGTAAAGTGATATTACAAATACAAAATTCCTGACTCAGTATTTTATGATCTTTAAAATTGATCCATAACTTGATCCAAGTATAAAAGTATGGGTGTTGCTTCCTGCACTCTATCACATTTCTCTATCCAACCCATAAAAAATCCTACAGAATTTATTTTTTCAGTAATAAAAGTGTGATTGCTGTCCGGAAAAAAAATCCGGAACTGTTTTTGTATTCCGAAAGTGTTAGGGTACAGGAAGAAAAATGATAAGTGTACGAAGTAATTCACTAAAAGTATCTATTGTGAGAACGTTAATGCAGAGATAAACCCATAACATAACCCATGAAATCCTAGTTGTGACGTTCAACGTTAATATGCGAATCAAAGAGACAAACTCTTTCTATCTACGCGGAATGCATAAAAAGACAATCTGAAAATTATAGTCTGTCTAAAAGATAGTTGTTTTCAACAACCTTTTAACCATATACTTTAAAACATACCCAGTCATATCTTGACCATTTTATACCATATACTAGATTGAATGAATAGGAGTTTTCTTTGATCAGAACATAAGTCCGTCATCAGCAATAGCAAAAGAATTGAAGAAAAAGCCTACATGAGACAATCGTATTGCTAGCAATATCGTTGAAGAACAAAGATATCAGGCACTGCGTGGTTATATAGATAAAATAGTTGCTTTGAATCAAAATTTGGTTTGGTAATGCAAGCCTACAATGCAAATCAGGCACTGTGCATGGTGAAATCAATTGGAAGCTACAATAAAGAACATAATTGCAAAACATGAATAGCAACGTCATTCGGCGTCCCCATTCTAGGTCAAATTCAGAAACCAAAAAACGACCCACTAAAAACAGCTGATTAATCATTCAATAACGTGAAGGGGAATGCATTCAATAACTAGGTACTTTCTGAAGCTCCAAAACAGGTTTAATTAAGCAGTAAAATAAAAGATTAATCATGCAAATTAAATATCAGTACAGATGTTTGAAAACAACACTATTTAAATTGTAGCAAAAATAGGAACAAAACTTAATAGCTCAGCGCTTCCCGCCTCCACCACCGAGTTTGGGACCTTTAGGCATAGCACCCTTGGAAACATTGCCTTTACCTCCTGCTTTTTGTGACTTAGCTGCAACTTCGGCTTTCTTAGCCTTCTTCTCATCCTTTGTCTTCTTGATCCTCTCCTTAATTTCACTGCACCACAACATCCAAGATCAGATGCATGTGGAATCCACATTTGAAAATAAAAGAGCTGTTAAAATGCAAGGCTCTGAAGCAGAACTACGGATTCAAGCATGTGACTAAAAAAAAATTCATAACACTAGAAATAAAGCAGGAAATTATTAAGAGGATTAAGCTTCACTGAAGCGAGAGGTGAACAGAGAGTAAAGCGTAATTATAATAGTTGATCAGAAAATGAATGACTAAGAATGTGATTAAATATGCACACATCTAACGGAACGAAGAGGCAGGAATTAACAAAAACACACCGAAGGGCAGCTTCCCTAGCTGCGTCTCTAACTTCTAGCTTCTCAGTTCTCTTCTTCTGGATAACTTCCAAAGTGGCACCGACAATGGACCTAGAGTAAGGCTTCTTGGCAGCACGTCTTCTCTTCTTCACAGCTTCTTGAGCAATGTCCTACACATCCCATTCACACAAGTAATTGAACCAAATGCACACAACAATTGAGGAATGCCTACAGTAATCTGTTTTTCATGTGAAATTCGAATTACTATCCACTAGGCAAAATCAGATGACACCAAATTCAGTAAAAAAAGCAACATTTTCATTCCTAGACCGGTTCATCAATGCCAATGGAAATTCTCATTTAAAAAGTTCAGGATCTCTATGTAGATTAATTTTTGCATCTTTCAGACATTTGAATTAAATAAATACCTTCTTGTGTTGCTTCCTGTACATTGCAGTCCAGGTAAGATTTGATGGCTTCAAGCGGTTGTGGAAATACCTCTTGCATTTGGAATTGGCAAAGAGGAAAACCTGTAGATTCCACAAACAAATACCCTCTTTTCAATATCATAACTAATGACAAACAAAAACCGTCACAACTAACAATCATTAAGTTACATCAAACAAGACAAGATTTAAATAATGTGATAAATGGACCCCAAATTCAACGAGACATTATATGTCACCTGAGAATCACCACGAACAAATCTAATCCCTTTTCCTGGGTAAATCTTGGCACCACTGAATCTGCATAGTTCAGTTCTGATACAGGAATACAACACATTAATAAGTCATCGTCCTCTATGAAAATAATTATCCATAGATCAAACATAATGCGTAAGACACTGAATAGTTTAGCTGAAACTATGTTCAACAATCTACAAGAGTTATGCGTCTGAACTTGTTCAAAAGCTTCAGAAAAAGAACACATTCTCCGACATGTTTTCAAAACCTATTGATGCCTCTAATAGTCAGAAAAGCTCAAACAGAAACTAAGAATAAAGAAGCAGATACAAAACTATTCCAGAGAATTAGTTGAGGAATTGAATTGAAGTCAGTAAGCAGCAAATGATAATGATATACATCTTGTGGAATTAATTTTAGACGCATCGAAAATTATTCCACACAATATGCTTTAGAACGAAACAATAATCACAAAAATAATACTTCAAGAGAGATAAACTAAAAACAAAATCCAAACCACTGAAACAAATGGAGAATGGGAGAAGTAAACCGAACAAAAATAATGAAAAAAAAAACGAGATTAACTACAACAAACAACGATTTTAGAGTACAGATAAGTGTATGCATCCAAACCCAATAATTATAGAAGAAAGTAACTGCTATGAGATCCTACGAAAGGAGTTAAAGGAAGAAGAAGAAAGTGTTCATGAAAACTCACTTGAGGACCATGGCTGCTGCTTCAGCTGTGGCTGCTTGGTGTAAACCCTAAAACCTAATTCTCCCTGAATCTCTCTATACTCCGAAATAAAACCATATAAATGCACTCCTGGGCCCAAATTAAATAGCCTAGTCCATAAGAATCCGAATTTATCATTTGGGCTTCGTCAATGAGCCCATATAAGAAGAAGAACGCAGATAATAAATAAACAATAAATATTTTTTAAAAATAAAATAAAACAATTAATAAAAGAGGCAAAACTTATCGCGGGAGGATTTTCATTAGATTGAAATCTGTTTTTTTTTTTTTAAATCTCAATATTAAAAGAAAATTACGTATGTTGATTGAACTGTTCCAGAATACAAAACTGTACCACCGAATGGCTGAATAATTGGTATTGTTCTAAAGGGTTTAGAATCTTCATAACAAATGCGGTGCAGAAGGACATGATTTTCAACTATCGTGTTTTGATGAGTTAAAAGACTTTATTTCAGCATATTATGGTGATTAGAAATAAGATTAAAATTAAATTACGTTTACCATAAAACATAATCTCAATTAGCTTTATTAAAATAAGTCTAAAATTTTAATTTACAGAGATGTTGCTTGATTTAGATATTATGAATGTTTAACCTGAATCAATTTAATCAAATCTAAATAAATTAAATTAAATAATAATAAATTCAAATAATAAATTAACTTTTGTACTACTAATTATTATGCATGGATTATAATGATGTTTTTAATTTAATTTTATTTTTTTCATATTTATATAGCATGATATTCCAACAATTAAATCATCCTACTTGATTTTTTTTTATAATAACAAAAGTAAAATTGAAACTTCAAAACTTATACCAACTGTTTAAACACTTCATCATTTTAAGATTTTAAAATACTTAAACTTTCTTTTAAAAGAAATTTGACTCCAAATGTCGTACATATGTTGAAGTTTAAGTTTAATGAACTCTATGCTTTGTTAGATTGTGATTCAATGAGCTAAATAATTAATTTAACTCTACCCCTTTTAAGAAAATTATAAAACTACAGGCTAAACAAAATATCAACCTCAAATCAGGTTCACTTACAGTTTATGACCAATTTAACATCAAGTATTACCCATGAGATATGAGATCAATCATATAAGGAATTGACATCATTCTTTACCCAAAACTTTAAGACAAGAAGTTAATGGATCTTTCTCCTTTATTTAGTGCTATATTTTCTTATTCCTATCTAATGTGAGACTTAGACTCACATTTGGATTCCCAACACTATGAAAGTTATACATTAAGGCTTTGTTCACTTGAATGAATTTGGGGGAGAGTGATTGAGGAGATTTGAGATGATTTGAAGGTAAATTTTTTTGTTGTTTATTTAACTGGATTTGGATGTAACTGAGAGTGGATTGGAAGTAAAGTTTGTAAGAATTAGTGTAGGATTTGATTGATGTGATAGATTAAAAAAACTTACTTCCAAATCCATTCTCATTTACCTCCAAATTCACTCAAATAAACAACAACAAAATTTTACTTTCAAATCCTCTGAATCACTCTTCTCCAAATTCATTTAAGTGAACAAAGCTCAAAACTTTATTTATATTAGTTGTTCTGTGCTTTTATTTTTTTCCTAGTCTAATCATATTTTAATTGGTAGTAACATGTAGATTTGTCATTACTATTGTTAATATGACCATTTTGTAACTTGTCGACCATGTTCAGTCAAGATGGTCAATCACAAGTGATATAGGTGATATGTCCAAGAGGTCGGCCTAGTTGGACCAAGGAAACTTTCTAAAGTAGTTGGCCAAGAGTGATCAACCAAAAGAACTCGGCTCAGAGTGGTTAATCCAGAAGAGATCGATCCATAGTAATCGATCAAGAGTGATCAATCCATAAAAACTCAACCCAATGAAATTTGACCCAAAGAATCATCAGTTTTGGAATTAGATCATTGGGTTGATGGTTGGTCATTCGAAGTTAACCAAACGGGCATACCATACGGGAGAAACATAATAGTTGTTTTGTGATAAATTGTATTCAATTGATTTACGGCGATCAAATAATAACTTTGTTATACAAGCAAGAATAGAGACAAATTCTTTGAACTACTCGTTCAGAAGCAAACCTTTCAACCTTAAACAATCCAATGGACATGTGAAGATCCGATGCAAAAGAAATAAAAAATCCATCATGTTTTGCCATCAGTCAGTCGCATAACAACTCAACCACAGACTGATTTTCCCAAAGGGAAGAACCATCAAGCCTTATTTATTACACAGAGGAAAGGAAATTCCGATGGTCAACCAAACATTGACCAACATTCCTGAAAGTTGTTGTCGTACCCAGAATATACAAGCTTTTCTCATACTGAGTCTAGAACTGAATGGAGGTTCAACAGAAACTTAAATAATATACATATCAAACAAATGTTGCACTGCAATGAGAAGAGTGTTAGCCAGTAGCTAACATTCAACTACAAACAGTGTTTCACACAAGGGAGGGCAGACTACCATTATTTGATACTTGAAAAGGAAGGATCTCCTTGTCGGTGAACCAGGCATTGACCAACATTCATGACTCCTATTGTCCTATCCTTAATTTCCAACCATTTTTTACACACTCCACAATGTTGTCTTCGTTTGCCACCTGCTGTACACTACATGAATCACTGACTGCTGCAGAAGTCTAAAAATCCCATGAACTCATGGTCTTGGATCATTTTAATGCTCTTGTCAATACCAACCACACCTGAAACGAAAAGGGTCAATTATATAGTTGAACATTGGCGCATAAACCATATATATAAATCAGCAAATGTCTGTGGATTTGAATAGCTTTACCCATGGTGAGAGCGCTAGCAAAAATGACCCCTGAGAGGATGAATACAATGATTGAAGCTCTCTCGAGAACTTCCATCAATTTCCTTACAAAATACTGTCCCCAAAAGCCAGCCAGAACAGACACTGCAGTGAGGTATAACGCTACAAAAGAAATGTGAGAAATGCATTAAGCATGGAGCAGATCAGATCATTTTCACTACAGGGTATTATTTTAGTATGTGTTCAAGCTCTAAGGCCCTGGTGAAAAAGAAGCCTTTTTGAAAAGGAAGCCAAGTGAAAAATGGATAGTAAACATAGCATATGGTGGACCACAATATGTAGCCATCTTTGCCTGTTTGTTTCCACATGAACCTGTCACTTAAACTCTTAAATGGTAGGAAGTGACAATTTAAAGGCAAGACAGATTGGAAAGAGATGTAAGATTGAAAATATTATGAAAATTACCATAAGGAATGGGAAACCTCTTGAGAAGGTAGAATTCCACCACAGACAAAGATGATGAAAACATCATCACAAATGTTGATGTTGCACTAGCAACCTGTAATTTGAACAAAAACACGTCCTTGGAAGTTAAGTTGCTTCAACATTATTGTCAATCAAACTGTCTCTTGCATATGCAATTTACCTGGGGGATGACACCAATCTCGATGAGCAGAGGGCCCAAAATGAATCCACCACCAGAACCAAGTAGGCCTCCCACAGTTCCTCCTAAAATGCCACATAGTGCACAAAATAAAATGTGCAGAACAGTCCATTCAATTGATGCCTCACAGATGTATTCCATGTTTCCTGTGCTCATTCTCTCTTTGTAATCCCTGTATAACTTCACTGCTTCATAGCCAAATACCAAAAGTGCAATAGGAAACTGAAACAGAAAGAAGAAAGGTACATGTCAATACGTTGGATTTGACCCCACTGCATGGTAGTAATTAACAAGTGCTAGTGTAATTGATGTTCCCATTGTACCTGTAAGCTGAAAAGCACCCAATACCATTCACTACAGACCTCTACAGTATTCTGCAATCCCACAATTAATAGACTTAAAACAAAGAAATAATGAGTGAACAGATTTGTGATGTGAATTGGAGAGAGGGGGACTTGCCTTGGTGACTTGAAGTAGTAGGAAAGAAACCCACACGACCATTAGTACCAAAATCCTTTTCCACTTGAGATTGAAACAAAAAATTTGCTGAGGTGTTGTTCAAGGGAGAGAACAAAAAAAAAGTCAGGCTTCTCCTCATCACCTAGTATGACTCGATGAAAAACTATGAGACTTTGCATACCATTGATGACTTCTCTTCTTTAGGAATCAACTGCTCATATTCTGTATCAATTAGTACTGCGCATAAAATGAAATATCTTCATTTTAAGAACTAAATACGCAGGGCACGCTTGACAGAAAAACTATTTCTTATTTCAAAATTTTATAACTCTTATGTACTAATTAATTTGAATATGGTTGAATTAGTAAATCCCAAATAAAGTGCTTTTTGTTCTTAGTAAAGAAATGGTTTAAAGTATATATATAATCTTTACTTACGTTCCCCGTGAGAATTAACGAAAGTTGCTTTTTGCCTGGCCATTTCTTTCTGCAATTAGCAAACACAAATAATACATTTGCCTCTGTTAAATGATTCCGTTGAAGAACCGCGATCTCAAGTAATGAAACTTTACCTTTAGAAGAGTCTCTTCCCTCCACATCTGAGTTCCCTTAAAGAAAGACCTTGAAGAGGTACCTGTCAAAAGGTAAAAGAACATTTTCCACCATTTATCAGCAGAGACCAACGAAGAACTGATTCAGCCAAAGCATGGTTTGTTTTATAAGTAAACTTTTCTGCTAAAATAAATGACATGAGAGAGAGACCAATGAAGAGAATAATGATAAGGACAGTGATGAGCCAGTAGGGGAAGACAACACTGAGCGCTACACCAACAGTAATACCAAGCATGAGCATGGGCTGAAAAATAAGTCCCAGATCATAGTCTATTATAGGCACCTCTTTGGTTGGATGAGGCACTCTCAGGTTATACCAGACAGAAGCTGTTGATGCCCCCATTATCATACCTGAAAACAGGTGAACAATATCACACTCGGTCACAAAACAAGAACCAAAAAACTAAGTTTGTGGACGTTCTCACATGTCACAACGTGAAACAAGAAAAAAGAGAGCCTTATTACATTTAGAGAGAGCAGCAGCAGACTTGGTATCAAAACCCACAATAAGAGTGAGCATAGGAACGAAAATGCCTCCCCCACCTACCCCTCCAACTGTCCCAAAAGCTGAT